TCAGGTACTTTGGAAATAAATGTCATCTCTGATACTTTGGAAATAAATGTCATCCCAGGTACTTTGGAAATAAATGTCATCCCAGGTACTTCGGAAATAAATGTTGTCCCAGGTACTTTGGAAATAATTCTTGTTCCTGGTACTTTGGAAATAAATAATAAGTAAATTCTCTTATTTATATACCAAAATATGAATCTTCACTGTGAAATTTGCACATGGCCATGAATAAGAATATATATGTGCATATATATATATATATATATATATATATATATATATATACACACACACACACACACACACACACATATATATATATATATTTATATATATATATATATATATATATATATATTTATGAGAGTAATTTTTTTTTTTCATTTAACATGATATTATAACTTGTAGAAGACTTATAGTATGATCCAGAGGAAATGTTGCATGGAAAAAATATCTGAAGATGAAGTTTAAAAGCACATCAGTGATGTTTTTCATAAAACTAGTGGTGAGGTGTAAAGAATACAGGAAACAAAGACAAAAATAGAGGAAAAGTAAAAGAAATCAAGAGAAAGAACAGGATATTAAGGAAAGAAGGAAAAAAAAGAAAAATTGTAGAAAATAGAAAAAGACACAAAAATCAAAATCTTTGAAAATTATTTCTTATATTTACCACGTGTAACAGCAAAATTGTTCAAATCGTGTAACAGCAAAATTGTCTAATTGTTAGATTAAACTCTGAACTGTTGTATCTTAGAAATGATTAAAGATATCTTACTGGAATTCTTCGAGGTTTTTATAATACTATTGGACTGTACTTTGAACAATAAGAATCTATAGTTACTCTCCAAGCTTAACAGAAGAATTGTGATGAAATCAACCATAAGCAAAAATGAATTAATTAATCGTAGCTAAGGATCGGAAGCTCATGAAATATTGAAATAAAGTTCAAGCATATATATATTATTCCAGGATCATTTTCCAACTTATTCAAGATGATATTCGCCCTCTCTAACCTTCTAACTTTCTATCCTGGAGTAACTAAGTGCCTCACAAGTTTCACACATGATTTCATTTTCAATTCTTTATTCACCGCTCTTTGGACTGTCATAGCTGAAACTCTCTCTCACGTGCCAAACTTCTTACTGATTGAGTTGGATCTTTTCTAATTGATCTCTTTAGTTGAATTGATAATCCCTCTTCCTGTTGCAACATCCAGATCCAGTTTTCATCTCTACTGTTCCCTCTTTTTTTATTTTTTCACTTATTCATCATCTTGATGGTTCTTGAATGGCCTTTGAAGATGGAAGGGAAAGTATGAATGTTGGCACCATTACTGAAAGCCTGAATGATTTTTTCCTCTCACCAGAAGACAGTGGGGCTGACACAAAATGATTTTAACTCTCTTCAATATGTTCATTTATTTAGCATCAACAATTTATATGTATATTTCTTATGATCCACCCATATTTGAATTGCATTTATCTATTTGTATTTTTTTTGGACACAAGGGGTTACAGAAGGGGTTACAGAAAATTTGGAGCAAGATCAGATAGGAGTGATAGAAGAAAGGATGAGGAGAAGGATAGTGGATAGATCAAGGCGACTGGAGATGTCGATTGACATTACATTTGAATAGCTGGAGATTATAGCTCTCAGGGAAATTGGAATAGGGAAGGGAGTTCCACAGGCGAGAGGTGTGAGACATGAAGCTATTAGAGTAGAAGAGATGGCTACATTTAGAAGTTTCGACAGTGAAAGGGTGAGAGCAGGATGCCAGCCTTGTAGGGCGCTTGAATTCATGAAGTCTGGGAACCAGCGAAAGCAGCTCATCGGAGCAATTGCCATGAAAGTATTTGTAAAACAGACAGAGAGAGGCGATGGCACATCTGTGAGAAAGTGACTGTAGACGAGATGCCAGATCAGGGCCAATTATATTGCATATCCGCCTCTGGAGCCTATCAAGAACCCCGAGGCAAACAGAAGGGGCTCCAGACCATATATGGCAGCAATACTCCATGCAAGGGCGAATTGTTGATTTGTAGATCTGGAGGATCGATTCCGGGGAGAAAAATTTGTATTAATATACAATTATTACTTAAAAAAAAATAGCCCATTCTTAAATTTCGATGACGAAACAGTCAACTCACTGAAAATCCTTAGACTTCAAATGAACACAGCACATCAGCTTCCTACCACAGAAAGAATTTACTGGTACTCGACAGTGTCATTGAGTCAGGAGATTCACCTTGACTTCCGATGCAACTGAATTATTTAATAATCATAACAGCTTTCACTGACTATGAAGACGAACACACTGCAAGCCTTTGCAGCTAAGTTTTGCCATGAGCTCTCTTTGTGAGGGAGAATTGATATCATTCAATCCGCAAGAAGTTTGACGAACAAGATGCATAAACACTATTTACATTATTCAGGCTACTGTCATCTTTGTTGCCATATTTATCACAACGTTCCAGCTGATGTACACTCCGGCCTTCTTCAGGTGGTTGGAATGTCGAACTGAACCCTTTATTTCACTCACTGGAGTAGACTGTTCTAGTACCACATACCATGTCTAATGGACGTCAGTTATCAGTTATCTTCTGTTAATTCACTTCTCCAAGTTCTCCACTGCCTTAACTAGGTATTGAACTCACAACTCTGGGTCCTGTCACTGGATCTAACTAATGCCCTTATCCACTGTGCCATGTGTCCTTACACCTGAAGAAGAACAGAGTGTACATCGGCTGAAACGTTGTGATAAATCTGGCAACAAAGATGAGGACAATAGTCTGAATAATGTAAATAGTATACATAATACCTCATCTCAGAAATATAGACAGATACTGAAGATGCATAAACTCAATAAGAACAGACTATATATATATATATACATATATATTAAAAAATAAAATATAACATGAGCTTTACCTCGATGAAATACTAGCAAGGATTTATGAGTGCTGTGCAACATGTAGAGTTGTTTATATTCTGCACTTTGCACTCAGTTGTGTATTTTTTTTCTTTCTTTCTTTTTTGTTGCAACCCATTTTATTTATCTTGTGATCCATTGAAGAGTTAGGAACCACAGTTTGAAAAACCCTACACTATTCCAATACACCTTCAGATTTTGCTCTTGCATTTTCCGTCCTCTGTTTAACCTCTTCCCAGAGATTTAAATCTTTGTACTTCTTTAATTTTGGTGTCTCCAATTTGTAGTTTCCATCTTGGGCTGTTCCTATTGTTGACCACTGTACATTCTGTCTTGTTAGTGTTTTCTTCTCGCTTTCCTTTACTACCATCTGTAGGAGTACCTGCAGTTTTCTTTTCATATTTGCTATCAACACTGGGTCATATGCATATCTTATATTGTTAAGATTGTTGCTGTCAATAACAAATCCAGAATTGCCACACTCTATAGGTTGAATAAGTCTGGTGAGAAGGCGCATCCTTGTCTTATACACATTTCTACTTTTGTTTATTGACTGGACTCTTATCTCGATGCAGGCTGTTTGCTTCCAGTATAGGATCTGGATAATTCTGATATCCTTCCCTAATAAATCAAGCTTACCTAAGAGTTCAAATAGTTCTTTGTCTTGTATTTTAACAAACACATTTTCATGAGCAATAAAACATATTTATACTTCCTTTTGCCTTTGTATTACTCTTTCAAATATAATTCTGAATATAAACATTGCATATCTAATGAAACCGCACTTGTTTTTGTCCTGTTTCCAGTTTAATTCGACTATGCATATCTATTCATCAGAATTTGGATAAGTTTTGTCATGTGGCTTATTAGGCTGATTGTATGATGGAGTTTGCACCTGGCTTCTTGGTCAGCATTATGGAAATGAATCTTTTTTTTTCAATCAAAATCACCCCAGTCAAAGCAATAAAGTCACTACAATACAAGGGGTTACCGGGTGTGAAACATTTAGAAAACAGAAGCATTATTGAGGAACGAGAACAATAGAAGAGTAATCGGGAAGACAGTAGATAATGACTGACATTGCATTTAAATTTTTGAAGATCAAATTTGACTGAAAAACAAGAAGCTGGAAGTTCCAAAAGTGAGAAGTGTAAGAGAAGAAACTGTTAGCAATAAACTAAAGGTTTACATCTAGCCATTTTGACTATAAATTGATGAGATCTTGCCACCAATCTAGTACTGTTTAACTCATCTGAACAATTACTATGAAAATATTTATAGGGAAGGCACCGGGAAACTATTTTATGGATTTGGGAAAATGACTGAAACTGGGGTGCCAGGTCAGAACCAATAATATTGCAGATTCATCTTTGGAATTTATTTAGTTATATAGATCTTCCAGTATAATGTAGGGGAAAATTTTAGAAGTAGGCTAGATGTGAAAGAGAGAAAGGCAAATCATGCAAGATTGGATAACAACCAATGAATAAGATTAAACTATTCTTTGGTGTATAAATCAGAAGACAACTTTGCAAAGAGAGAACAAGACAGAAATGAATTATTACATGAAACAAATATAAGTGAAACAATGAAAATAAATGAAACAAGAAAAATATTAAACAATAAATAATAAATAAACAATAATAAATAAATAAAATAAATCTACGTACCCTTCATAATAATTCTTATTACAATTCTTTATTTCCATTTTTTTTTGTTTTTCTTGTTCTCTGTACTGTTTGTTTTTGAATTCTTTTAAAAGAATTAAAAGAGAAGAAAATGGGAATGAAAAGTGATTGATTGCTTAATTTTTTATGGTTCATCAACCCCTTGCAGCTCATTAAAAGCCAGAAAAAATTTTTAAATTGCGAGAATATTTTTAGCAGGGTGGGAGGTAATAAAGGCTTAGTAATACAAGTCTTACTAATTAATCCATAGCTGGGGGAGGAGGGGTGGGTTTATACTTTTTCCAAAGGTATTTGCACATAAGTCAATATAACGAACTTGACAGGAATTGAAAATCTGCTCTCCCATTTTGAGACATTATCCATTACACCACTCGCACATCCAAGCTTACATTGCCTGGTATTCCCAAGTGGTTACCCATCTAGGTACTGACTAGGTTCAACATTGCTTAACTTCAGTGATCATACAGGAACCAGTGTTTTCTATGTGAAGAATGAGAAATAATGAAATAAGGATGTGGATAGAAAAAAATTACAAAAGATAAGAAGAATAAAAAGTGATGAAAAAGAAGAGGATATTGGAAAAGGTGTTTTAGAAAAACAAAGATGGTGGAAGGAGATGCAAAGGAGAAAATAAAAATGAGAGGAAAAGGAAAATAAGGGAGAGGAAAGGAACAAAAAATGTGAGAGGGAAGAATGAGAGCATAAGAAAGAATAAGTGAAAAGATCAATAGAAGTAGATTCAGGAATCAGTGAAAATAAGAGGAAGAAAATAGAAAAGAATAGAGAAAGAAAGAAAGAAAAAAATACAATGGAGGGGTTTAAGAAAAATAAGCAAAAGGACAAAAGAATACAAGGAAGATGAAGACACAGATTTATATAAAGAAATAGAAAAGAATACCCCCCCCCCAAAAAAAAGAAAACGTTTGAAAGGAAAATCTAGAATGAAGAAGAATGCAGAAAAAAAATAAAATAAACTGGAAGAAAAAGAATTGAAAGACAAACGGTATAGAGAACAAGAAAAACAAAAAAAAAAGGGAAATAAAGAATTGTAATAAGAATTATTATGAAGGGTACGTAGAGAATAATAGGAATGGTAACCGGGGTCGTCAAAGAAGACTGTTCACAGCCAAATGTAGGAATTTGTCTTGGAGGAAGCAGTCCTTTTTATTCTTCTGATGCAGGCAGTTGAACAAAGATGAGAAAAGCATTTGCTTAACAAGAAAGGCGAGTGGCACATTGCAAAAACTAATTTCATCTTATGTATCCACATGTCCTGAAAGAATGTACCTTTTTTTTTTTTTTGACACCATGCCGTGTGTGTTTGGATCTTTTTCCATCGTGTTCAAAAGAAATTTTTTTTCTTCATCGGTCACCCTGTCTTTTCTTACATTGTCTCTTGAACTATAATAATTTATTATTGTTACTTTTATCATTGCCAATTTTACAGCCGATCGGCTATTATTATTGCCAGTGCTGTTATTATTACACTAACTATAAAACTTACAATATGCACACACACACACACACAGAGACACACACACCTACACCCATCCACACACACAGACACACATGCACAACAAAAGACAAGTACTCACACACAGAAGCATGCAGTCTTGCACACACAAAGACAAACACAAAGGCAGGTATATACATACACAGACACACAGACACGAAGAGAGATACTCACACAAAGTCATGTAGTTTCCCATACTCACAAAGAGGCAGACACACACACATAAACACAGAGAGACATGCAATCACACACACATATATAGAGGCCAGTACACACATATATACAGATAAACATGCACACACAAAGGCAGGCATTCACACAGAAGCAGGTAGTTTCACATGCACACACAGAAGCAGGCACATATGCATAAATACAGAGGCATATGCATTGACACACACATATATACAGATAGACATACGCACACACAGAGGCACTCACATGAAAGCTTGTAGTTTCACATATGCACACAAAGGCAGGCACACACAATAAACACAAAGGAATTGCATTTACAAACACATACATACACATGCAGAGACTGGTAGACATACATAAACAAAAAGGCATGAACTCAAATCCATGCACCAACATAAAGGCATATACTCATACACAGAGACATACAGTCACACACATACACACAGGTACATATTTAGTCACATACACATGGATACAAAAAGTTGGTGTGTGTATGCACACACACACACACACACACACACACACACACAAAGGCAGGTATATGCACATACACACAGACAAACATATACATACATACAAAGACAGACACTCACACAGAGTCATGTAGTTTCACATACACACACAGAGGCAGACACACACACATAAACAAAGCGCGGCATGAAATCACACAAACACATACAGAAGGCAGTACACACACATATACAGATAAACACACACACACACACACATACACACAAGCAGGTAGTTTCACATAATGCATAATTCTCTGTTTTTATGCTTATGTCCATGTTTTATAGACATGCGCACACAAACACACATACACACTGAGGCAGGCACACATGCATGAAAACAGAGGTAGGCATGCATTGGCACACACATAGACACTGACATACACCACACACGTACATATTCAGTCACACACATGGGCACAAATCAGGTATGCACACAGACACACACATGCATACTTACAGAGGTATGCCACATGAATACAAATACAGACACAGTGGCCACCACAGACACATATACATACACAGGCATTTACAACCAAATATATATAGGCATGCATGCCACCTACACAAACACAGAAGTAAAGTCCATAGCCGCTCACATAGTTATTACTTGACTTTGGATTTGAAATTTTTATTGTATGATATTAAATCTATTTGAATTAAATTAAGTGCATTATCAAGGAAGAAAACTATGTTGAAAAATGAATATTTATTGTGTAAAATAAACAGTCATATTTCAACATATATAGATATATAAATATATATACTCCTGGAAATATGTATATAAATATGGACCACTAATATCACATATATATATATATATGTATATGCATATGTATGTATATATTTATATTCACGCATACATATATATGTATGTATGCATATATATATATATATATATATATGTATATATGTATATATATATATGTATATATGTATATATATATGTATATATGTATATGTATATGTATGTATGTAGGCATATATATATATATGTATATATATATATATATATATATATATACATGCTTATATATATATATATGTATGCATATATATATATATATACATGCTTATATATATATGCATATATGTATGCATATCTGTACATACATATATATATATATATATATATACTCAGTATAGTTGCAGTATAAACCACAGGTGGGCTGTGTGGGTGTTGAACAAACACAAATGTACCCAAGCAGGTATCTGCAAGGGATGCTCGATACCAGCAATTATTATATATATGTATATGTCTATGTACATGTACATGTAAGTATATACGTATGTATGTGTGTATATGTGTGTGTGTGTCTCTCTCTGTGTGTGGAGGTATATATATGTATATATATATACATATATGCATGCGCGTATACATGTGTGTATGTATATGTGTGTATATATATGATCTATATATATATATGTGTGTGCATATATATATATGTATATATGTGTGTGTATATGTCTATATATATGTGTGTGTGTATGTGTATATATATGTGTATGCATGTGTTTGTGTGTATCTATATACATGTATATATATATATGTGTGTGTATATATGTATATATATATAATTATGTGTGTATGTATATATATATATATGTGTGTGTATATATGTATATGTGTATATATATGTATACATATTTGTGGGTTTATTCATATGTGCGTGTATATATGTCTGTAAATATGTATATATATATATATATATATGTGTTTGTATGTGTGTGTGAATGTGCAAGTATATGTGTGTATATATATATATATGTCTCTATATTTATGTGTATATATGTTTGTATATATATATGTATATATATGTATACATATATATGTGTGTGTATATATATATATATATATATACATTTGTTTATATATACATTTTTGTATATTTATATATGTATGTGTGCATATGTGTATATGTATAAGTATGTTTTTATATATATTTATGTGTCTGTGTATTTATATATGTGTATATATGTGTTTATATATATATATATATGTGTGTTTTTGTGCGTGTGTGTATGTATGTATATCTGTGTGCGTGTTTAATTAAAGACGATGGACAAGGTCCTGCAATTAATCTTTTCATTTCATTTTTCTTGTGTTTTTACTGGTCAAAGAATGTGTAGAAACTGTTCAAATGTTTTATAATTCTGAGTGTTTTCGGCCATACTTTTAGCTATTATCAATGATGATTTTCTTTTTACTTTTTACCCTATGTATGGATTTTGTGTATGCCTCTAGAATTAACAGGATGTTTTATTTTCCAAACACTGTCAGAAAATTGTGGCCATGTTCGTAGCTAATATTATTGGGTGTTGGCTTTTTCTATTTTATTATTAAGGCTTCCATTATTTTTAATCCTTTTTTACATCTGGATGAGTTTATTATGTTTGTATTTTCTACTAGTATGTTTCGGATGGAGTCTGTTAAGTGTGTGTGTGTGTGTGTGTGTTTAAAAGAGTTCTGATGGAGCTGTAGTCAGATGGGTGTAACAATTTGTTTAGATAGGCATGTATTATTGTAACCAATGTAATTATTTATGAGTTTGATTTGATCAGAAACACAGTTCTTTAAGGGCCATTGGAACGAGTAAATGTCACACTACTACATGCCTATATTTGTGCATATATGTATATATATGTGTGTGTGTGTGCATGTATATGCATTATATATATCTGTGTGTATATATATGTATGAGTGTTTGTATATATATATATATATATATATATATATATATATATATATATATATATATGTATGTGTGTGTGTGTGTGTATCTTTTTTATGCTTCTTAATTCCTTCAGGAACATAGGGCCGCATCAACACCTCTGCAACAGTTGCTCATTCCAGGTGATTCTCTTCTTCTCCGCCCATGTTGTCCCAGCTGCCTCAACCTCTGCGTCAACACTTCTGTACCAAGTCTTTTGCATGTGGCCGATCCATCGCCATTTCCGTTTTTTGATGTCAGTCTCAATTGGGGCTTGTCTGGTCCTGTCCCACATTTGGTCGTTGGAGATGACTTCTGACCACCTGATATTGAGGATGTTCCCGAGACACTGGTTAGTAAATGCCTGAAGTTTGTGGGTGTTGGTCTTGGTTACCCGCCAGATTTCTGAGCCGTAAAGTAGGATCAACTTGATCCGAATTTTGTAATGTAAGAAAGCTGTTGACCTCCAAATTGGCTGCAGAGTGTTGAAAGCATGTCAGGCTTTGTTGATTTGGCACCTGATGTCTTTATCTGCCCCCCCCCACACACACACCATCT